TCATCATGATCTGTTCGGCATAGTTTAACAATCTTCTGGTTCCAAATGAATACAGCAATTGTGTATGCTCAAAGCCATTTCGGTGAAGTATCACATTAAACTCAAATTATTGAGTTGCTGGAGTTGTGGGAACTTCCCAGCCAAACACAGTAACTTCTGAGAACACAACAACTTGACCAGAAGTGAGAGCTTCATGTCAAAAACAAGTTAAAACCTGTATTCCCTCTCTCCATCCTTAACTGTTCATAAATGATTGCTTTGATTCAAAAACTGTATAACATCAAGCTTCATAAGGATTTGGTAGGAAGACTTGGTTTGGTTTTTAGAAAATAATAAGCACCTACCTTGGCCCCTCACTCCCTTAATTAAATTCCTCTTCTATCCTTCCCCCTGCCCAACTTCTTTCCTTTCCTCCTCCAAGTCTGCCTGTCATTATTACATACCTTCCACCACTCTGATACACATATGCATGTATTCAGCTACTCATCTCTCTTCATTTCCTGACATCTAGACCTACTATTCTGCTCCCTCACTGCTGTCTCCTTTAGACCTCCTGTCTTCTTTGAGTTTCTCTGGACAGGTCTGCAATTGGATCTGCATCAGATTTCTGGATGCTCTGCATTTGAATACAGCAGCTAGACTGCCTTCCTTTTTACTCATTTACAATTGCTTTTTCATGTTTCCAAGATGTTTTTCTGTACTTCTCATAACAGGTGCAAAACAGTAACAATTCTCTTTGCTAGTGGCCTACCAACCAGAATTTTGGAAGTACTGTGACACCTCTGGCATTAATAATTCACATTATTATTAAAATTTCTTTGAGCTAAAAATTTTTTATTCCCAATATTCACTGAAACCTATCCAGTCCCTTTGAAAAATCTTTAGAACTGAAACAGTGTTTAAAAACTGCTTTTTAGGAGTGACACTCCAACTATTTCATAATTCCTTTGGTTTTTTTGTAGTGTAAGTTATGGAGCTGAGTAAGATTTCTTCAGGGACAATATGGATTAATAATAGATGTGGAGGAGAAGCAGAACTAGTGTGGTGCACTCACACCCTCCTAAATCTCACTGGATGTGAAAGTGTTTCTAACCAGCATATTCTAGAATGCTGACATCACCACATACACTACAGACCCATTTAAAAAAGGCGTTTTTAAAGCCTTTATACTACTGCTTCCAAAATGTCCGTTACATTTTAAGCATTTCCTACACAAATTCAGCTCCAAAAGCTCACAAGGTGTGACCCAATGCACAAATGGAGTTTTCAGTTGGAACAATTAATAAAAGAGTTCTTAACAGTAGTGGGTGAATTTTTGAGGTGTGGCAGACTGGGAGGTTTCATAGCTTTTGTTAGGACTGCGTAGTACTTTGGAGACAAACAGGAGCAGCACCAACCTTCACAGGAAGATGTGCTACCCAGGGTAAAGTAATATTGAACTTCATTTAGCTTTCTGGTATATATACTGAAATCTGCAGTATATGAAGCAGCACACTACATTTCAAATACTCGTGAGCCAAAATATGTGCCTGTGCAGAATGCGAGGCAACCCCATGTTTTGTTTCTTGATTCTATCCCGCTTCAAGCCCTTCCAGGCTTTTGGTTCTGACAACAGATACAATATTTAGAGCAAAGCAGAGCAAAAAATCCTGGACAAACTTTGCATTAGAAGCAAGTGTGGTGTTCCAGAAATATTCACATCTTGCCTTTTAAGAAAAATCAAGGCGAATGAGGCTTTTGGGAGGGAAAAAGAAAAAAATGGAAAATATTTTCTCTTTCCTATAGTTTAATCTCAACTTGCTAGCCAGAATTTTTGCTTCTCTTCCTTCTGAGGACATAACCTATTCTTTTTCTCTGGCCACTTTCCTTCACTTAATTTAGTTAGTCTCCTGACTGACAACAGACCAAAACACTCAAGGAGGAAGAAAATGTAGACAAAGTAAAAAAACAGGGTGTGTATCTTCAGGTTTAAAAAACCAAACAAAGCTAGCATTTAGATCATAAAATCCAAGGTACTACACAAGGAATAGCAAAATTAAAGTGAATTGAAATATCTGAAAGTGTACAAGTTTATTTCTTTCTACTAAAACTTTCTGGACGCTATAGTAAACTAAGCAGGTGAGTTAATTCAGGTGATTCATTACTTACAGTACAAAATAAATATAATTTGTCTACTTCTGCATTAAAGCATTTAAAAATCTGCCCAGAATGTATATTATTACTGTGCCTGAATACAAATACACACCTTCAAGTAAATTCAAACCCAGCAACTCTTCAGCAGTAACCAGTGGCTTATGAGGTTAACATGGTACAAGTTAAAGCTAAGCCAAGTAGTTAAGCAATGTCACAAACAATTTTCAATAGCTTTGTAGCTTTTCCTGTAAGCTGTGTCAGTAGCCTCTACAGAAATGTCATTGAATCAGAAGAGGCAACTACTCAGAGAAATGCCTCTGCCCAAAAATTTTCATCATACAAAGAAGCTGCAGAAGTTAGGTTCAAATTAAATTGCGTATACCATTTTGAAAAAATGTCTGTGCAATCCTCAGTCACTGAACTTATTAATACACTCTTCTGGCTTAGCATAATTACATGTATTTATCAAGCATATATACATATATGCATATACATGCATATATTCCAGATTCAAATGCAATTATAGTCCTTTAAACAAGTAACTGGGTTAATTATATCAGGTTTTTGTAATACAGTCTTCCAGAAGTAGTCATAAGGGGTTAACATGACTTGTAGTAATAGCACAATTATTTTAAAGCTATCAATAAATAATTTTTCCCTTAAACAGTGAGCTCTTCTTTGTGTTTAGATTACACTTTATGATTGTGCATCTTCTAAAAAATTGGGATGATAGAACAAATAAATCATATACTGATACTTCCTGAAAGGCAACAGCTTGATAAGAATACTACTTATCTAGCTCTGTCATGTAGCACCATAGGGTACCTTACTGAAAAGCTGAAGAACTTGTCAGAAGACTTGTAGATGTGTGCATGCAGATGTGTTTACACAAATATAAAACATGTCTGTCAGAGAACTGTAAAGCAAAATAAATTTCAAAACTAGAAAATCACTTAAAACCAAATATTCCCTTATGGGCATATTCCAATACACCAGACATACTTTAATCATTGCACGATAAAACTTGTGCTTTGCTTGGATTGAGTATCAGAAAACTTAGAGCTGCAGACATTTGCAGAGTGGGACAAGCTACTCAGAGCATATATATTCTCACATTCAAAAGGAGAACATTACAATGCCAGATGTACAGTGTTGACTATATTTAACCATAGCTACTAGGCGACTTGTGAAATTGCGGGTGACAATAGGACTATCCTGTATTTCTGTGCTTTGAAAAAATGAAAGTTATACAGTGCGACAACACTATTTAATTATCTATATTCTAATCAGATATGCCTTTAAGGATAATGACATTTCTACTGTATATAAAAACATTGTATGATGGCAGTTTCAGGCAACTAACACAATTGTGCTGGATATTAAAATCATATATTAGAATTTAAAGCTAAATCTGAAGATATCATTAATTTTCTCCTCGATCACTTAGTAATTTGACATAATTATATCCAGCTATTAAACAAAAAAAATCCCCAACAACTGCTTTTATTACAGGATAATTTTAGAAGAAAAAAGGAAATGTTTGCCACAATTAATTGTGTAGGGGAATGAACAGGGCAAGCGCTGCCTCTGAAATAACAGTTTATTTGCTTTTTTCAGAGGTATGAATTTATTAAAATTCAGAGGCCTGCAGTTTGTTTCAATCACATGAACAGATCTAGGATTCTTAAGATACAGTCTTTTCAAAGTGTACTAAGGAGAACCACATAAGCATATTTCACGGAAGAATACAGGAAATATGAAGTTGTGATTTTGTAAAGAAATATTAGAGGACTAAAAGTGCAACAGAAAAGTAACAGTAGATTCTTGAAAATAAACATGAAAATAAAAAAACAGCAAGGGGGACCAGCCCAGGGAAAGATCTGACTGAAGGTGTTCTTGATATTACTACACAGATTCACTGAGTAAGTTTGACTAAAGTAGTTGAAGCCAAGAGGAGTCACTCCACTGACATCAGTAGGCTTCGTTCAGGCCGCTACATGTGGTCCTTCTGATCCCTCATCCTTTCATCTAGGCTGAGAATCTTCCCCATTTCACTGAACACTCTGTGTCCGTCCCCTCCCTCTAGAGGTGCTTTTTTAACCAGTCATATCTATGCCTGCCTCAAACCAATAAAATTTCTAGCATCTCTACACTCCTCCTGTTAAGGGCAGTAGCAAAGTCCATCGATTATATTAATGCTAATGGGAAGATTGAGAAGCTCAGGAACTCTGGAACCATGAGTGTAAGTGCAAGCAGGGAGAGCACAGAGACACAGCTAAAACATAAGAGAAATTATCTACTTTTGCTTATTTAAGCTATGCAGGAGCCTGAAGCTTTTTCCTGCACATTATCTACATCTCAAATACAGCATAAGGCACACTAAACACTGAAGCACAGGTCATTGTTTTATTATCTAGTGTTCAGACCTCACAGCTAGTCAGGATATCAGCTAACAGAACATTTCAAAAGCAAAGTCTACCTTCACGGAGCCTGCCATTACTGCATTTAAATATTTACTATGCTTTGAACTACTAGTACTTTAATAGTTGTTTTTTTTTCTGGTGCGTGTGTGACAATGTTGACAGGAGTTTCTATCAGTTCGGGAGACTAAGTACAGAGACTGAAACATTATCAGATCATGTTGACCAAACGTTTGAAAGCAAGAACTCTCCCATTCCTTCCTGTTCCTTCAAATACTCAATATTTTCCTTTGGGAAAGAAGCTTGTCTTTTATCTTAATAAAAGATCTATTTGCTTCTGGAGCATGAGTCACACTCTTCAATTATTTTCAGTTTATTTTATAATTTTTACTGAGATTTGGTTGGTCTTTATTCAGTTTGGTTTTTTTAATGAGAATATCAGCTTACCTTCTGGTGAAGTACCTGGCTTTTGAGAAAACACAGAGCTTATTTTATTCTTCTTGCTGCTGTTGCTGTTGACAGACAAGGTGGACTGAATTTTTCTGTGCATTTTTTCTGAAACAGGAGATGAAAGCTTTCTGTTGTCTGCAGGCATATGCTTGACCCCGTTGTGAATTCCACTTCCATTACCCAGACCCACATGGCCATTTTGGATTTTTCCACTTTCTTCCTCACTCCTTTCCAGTGCTGAAGTATTTGGCTGAGGCAAACGTCGAGGTTGTGCTTAAAGTATAAGAAAAAAAGGGTTTATTGTAAATTGATAACTGAACTGGGAATGCAACTTTCCTTGCTCTTATTGAGCTAAAAACAGACTGACAAGTTAGCATTCTCCCATCAAGACAAAAAAGCAAAGAAATCTCTAGATTAAAAATAATTATTAGGTATTCAAAAAGCACCTCATGTCTGCATGGGGTCTAGACTCCCCGTTTGGCAATGCAAAGAAAGGCTTGCAAGGCTCTGTGAACTGCACAGAGAGAATAATGCAACCAATTTGAAAAAAGGGAAAAAGACTAGGAACAAATGTAGTAAAACTGAAATAAACTTGTATTGAGGGGATCAAATGAATAATGTGTGAAATACACCCAAATGAAAGAAAAAGTGTAGGAGTAAACATACAGACCACAATAATGGGCTAAGATGCAGGCTGGCCATCCCAACAACTGTCAGAAAATAACCTGAGTGACATGGTAGAGGTCCCCTGACACTCAGCCATCACAGACCAGTATATTATAGAAGAGGAATATCCAGGTAACTAACAAGTTTGAGCTTAAATTAATAAAGATCATGTTTTACTAAGAATTAAAACCAGTCAAAATCAGCTTTTGTGGAAGAAGTAACCAGAAGGAACATACATTCAAACACCACAGAGCTGGGGAAAACCAGAGTCACCCCCCCCATATTCTTCAATTCAGAATCACAATTTTAGAAATGGCTGTAATGGGCCAGTTAGGGATTTCATGGAAACACTGAAATGGTCAAGGGAAAAAAAAAACCCAACAAAATCCTGTCAAGGCAAGGATCCGCAGTGACCTGGCTAAGCCTCCAAGAGTATATGCTATAAACTCATTCTAATGAATAAGCATGTAACTTGGCCATTCTGTCTTGAGCTACTACATCATAAAGGTGAATATTTGTAACAACATGGAAAACAGGTTTCCTATGTATTCCTTAGCCTGTAACTAAAGAAAAGATGCATGATTTTTTAATATAAAGCTTTGTAATAAAATGGCTTTGATTTAACAATTTTTTTTTTAGAAAAAAAAAGAAGTAGATTTTGTGGGTGAAAACTAATCAAACTGTAAACACAGTAACACAACAAGATTTCACAATCAAAATGCATCAGCCCAATCACCTCTCTTAATCAAAACACTTCTGCATCATGCTTGGACATAAAGAGGTTTTCAGACAGTCCAATCTTCACCTATTTAAAAATGTTATGTAAAAGAAAAAGTACAGATTATATTAGACACCCAATGGATGAGAAATTAGTGCCAGCAGTAAGGAAAACCAGTGCCGCAGTTCATTCTCTTTTCAAATGGTTCATATCCACTTCCTGATGATTTCGCAGTATCAAGGTAGAAATACACACAGATAATTATAGATAGCTTGTTCTGAAAGAAACAATTCCACTGATCACTTCAGATACTAGTTAACAAACTATCCAACAAATACTACTGGGACAAAGAGACCAACATGGTCTCAAAAAGAACTCAGTTCTAAATTTGACTAACAAACCCCTAATGCTTTCCTTTTATCCAGAACACTTAACACCATGCTCAGGTTGCTTTCTCTACTTTCATAAACTTGTCCAGATTAAACTTCACACAAATCTTAAACTCTGTTCTGGTCATAGGCAACAAAGGATTCTTTTTCATAATAGTTTAAATATGAACTGGTTCAGGCTTCTTTTGATATTTTAGTCACTGCCACTAACATTTTCAGAAGATACCCTTGACTGCTCACATTTATCTAGGTCAGAGTAACCCTGCTGGAACCTACTTGACCAAAGTGATAATTTTCTGTTGCAGCAGAGAGGGCTGGGATAAACATTCATGTTTTAGACTCCCCAGAGATATTACAGAGAATAAAAAGATAAAGATCATTCCCTTCCATTACCAGTAGTAACTGCTCAGAAACCTCCAAGCAAACAAAACAAAACAGGAGCACACTATCTGAGACCAGAAGAACTAACTGTTGCCCAAAGGTTTTTTTATTGACAATGCTGAAACTGCTTCTCCTTCAATTTTGCATTAGTGTTTGTAAAATCTATGAACAGAAGCATAAGCAAGGCACTTTCTTCACTTTGGAATTCAATTTGTGCTATTGATGCATTGAGAGGTTACCTAGAACAGAGGCTAGACAGTGTTAAAGGAATAAAGTAGGCATTTATTCAAAAAACCTTCAAAGAATACACCTTGGGCAGTACAAGAGCCTGGCTGAGGCTACCCAAGATGGATCCCGGTCACAAGTTTTCACACTTTTTAAAGTTTTGGTCTATTTACATATTGGGGTTAATTGTCCAATTACAGCTTCAGGTGATGAAGTCCCGTCCTCACAGATGGCTCTCCTCAATTCGCTGTTGTTTATACTTTTTGGGCCTGAAGCTGCAATGGTGTCCTTGATTCTCAAGCTGGAAAAGGATTGTTTTGTCTAACTAAACTGTGAAGGGAACTTGCTAACAATTTATATGAAGTTCAGAGTTATATACTAATGCAATATCTATAATACAGAAACTCTCACAAAGGTCCCAAAGCAAAGTTTTAGGGAACTATCTCCTATTTGAATAAGTATTATCAAAAGTATATTACCAGGAACCCTTCATGTAGATTCTCTTTCCATGTATGTGCAAAATTAATTTTATTAAAAATCAATTGTTATTCCTTCCATTTTAAAAATAGTCAATGTAGACAGCCAAATATCTTTGCCAATATCAGAAATAAAAATTTACTCTCTTAAAATTCAGTGTTTATGTCCACAGCACCCCACAGTTTTATCTTCATTATCCCACTTAAATGCAAATTTGGTAATTAAAGAATAGTGTTTTTCATGTTTTATGTAATGTTTACTCACCCTGGATTGCCTGTGATTCTCTGCTATGGAGTAGTGCAGTTGTACCAATGAACTAGAATTGCTGGAGCAGTTAACCTTCCTCAATAAACACAAGCAATAGACTTTTCTAAAAATTCTCAGTGTCTGGATGCCAGTTTTATAAACTGACATCTATGACCTTTTTCTAAGCCAGTTAAATTGGTGGTGAAAGCTCACAAATTGTTTGTATATTTTTGGGGGGCTTTGCTACAATATAGTAACTTGACAAAATATCCAAAATTAAATCTTCAAAATGAGGTGTGTTTCTGTTGGTAAATGGGAAGTCTTGGAAATCTGAACAGTTATAGGTTTTTGCTTTTATAATTATTTTTACTAAGGGTTTAGGGACTTTTCTATGGTTTTTAAATTTTAATTTTTTATTAAGTAATCCTGTTCCCAAAGTACTCTTACTTGAGTCTTTTAGCATTAACATACAACTTTTTAGCTGACTGGCTTTACAGTATTCACGTGTGATACGCAGGTCAAATCAAACTGGAATAAAACCCCAAATGGATTAGTTATCTCAATTTAAATTTATTTTAACTTTATTGATAATTTTGCACTAGGGAGACTTGAATCTTATGGTTAAAACACACTTGAAACCAATTAGGAACCATATGACCGCATTCTAGCATAAAGAACAAAAGCAATTGACAGTTCTGAGATTAAACCACAACCACTCAGTTTAGAACAGAAATGTTTTTACCTTATTTTTTAAAGGTTGTGTATATCTTAAAAAAAAAAAAAAAAAAAAAAAAAAAAAAAAAAAAAAAAAGTGTAATATGGAGAACGACACAATGCTTCTTAAAACACAGTGATACCCAGGGACTCTCACTCTCTCTTTAATGATCCACTGCTCTCATTCAGCTGTCTTTCTTTTTTCAAATCTTTACATATGTGACAGCTCTCAAAAGTAGACCATAGACCATCTGGCATTTTCCGAGGTGTAACTTGTGCAAATTCAGCTCTACTGGGAACACAATGCTATCTTCTGCCTGCGTTATAAAAGATACAATAGAATGTAGAACTTATGAGTTGTTTTGAATTATTCATTTTTTGCCTGTATATTCAAGAAATTTTACAAACTCTGCATTTTGTACTACATAATCACATGCGTTAAAGGTACAAAGAAACTTTTTGACACCTCTTTTCTACAGAAAGATGGCATTTTGTTTGATATGTGAACATTCAGCGCCTGTTATATCATTCTAAACAGGCCGTGTGCTGCTACAAAAGATCCCATTTTACACTCTATGTATGAGCAAAAATGTTATTCTTGATATTCACTAACTAATGCAATACACATCAAAATTTCAAATGTGTGTTGGATGAACATTCAGCATCGTCAAATCAGGATGGTACTGGTCACTTACTGTATGCTAAAGATTTAAGGAAAAAAAATCATTCCTCAGACAACATAGAAAAATTGTCATTTCAAACATCTACAATGAGTAGCTTCAAAATGTCCTAAGAAATACCATGCTTTTCAGGTTAATATGTTTTTAATCTTTAGCAAAAGCAGTAGATTTAAGTCAATATTTTATACAGCGCTAACACTAGTGGATTTTCAATAAGAATGATAAATATTAGATTAATGATTCAATAGACTGAATCTTTTTTGATAGAAAACTAGCAGATAATATAGGTAGTAATAACTGCACATGAATCTGCTGCCTGTGGAAAAGCAATAAAAAGGCAATATATTGCTATAGCTTATAATCTATTAGCGTGTTTCACACTTCCTTGACATTGGTTTCCTTGCAAAGGGGGCCTTAATACAGTAACTTCTTCTGTTATTTAACTGACTGTACACAATAATTTAATTGTAAGGTTACTATCTGGTGAATTCAAGTAGTAAACATTTATTATGGTTTTTGATGGTTTTGAAGCAACTCTGAAGTACTTTTCAGCGTGTAAAACCCTTAGCACACTTTAAACGAATATGCACATATATATATGCACCCTGACTGCACACAGCTTTTACACCTTGCAGAGTCCCAGCTGTTCTTAAAAGAAAAATTCTGATGCATGCATTTAACAGAAAAATGTATGTCAACAGAGGGAAACTCTCAACCAAAAGAGGACAGTCTAAGCTATCATTAGGGATTTTAGACAAAACACAAAAACAAACATAC